CACACACTGCAGCTGCTCTGGGGGAAATAAGGAAAAGTTATCATTGCAGCTTGTTAGCCTTGTGGACCTGGTAGGTGGTGGAATTAGTAAGACCTTTTAGGCTAGATGTAGAAAGCAAGGCCAACGTGCTTGATATCTTTGATGTATGGATTGGTGTAAGAGCACCAATAAAACTCTTTTTAAAGAAAAAAAAGTCATCTAAATTTATAAACAAAGTGGACCACTTGGCTCTCAGATTCTGCTTAAAGCATTCTTCAAGTGTCGTGGCTGAGGGTCTCATTTCCTCCAGTTTCCAATTTAATGCTTAGTCCTTTGGTGTAGATGCTTATTGAGGCTTTGGAAAATCAGTGTTCAAGTGATGACAGAAGTGCCATTAAAACCTTGGTGATAGAAATGGATTCCTGTAGGGCACTTCGGGCCAAAGATTTAAATTTTCCTGGTGATTTACATTTTCAGGTACAATAGAACTATTGACAGATAAAAATAGGATAAACTCCAGATATTGCTATTGTCAGTGAATGTTGTAGAGGTTATGAAGGTACAATTAATTAACTATTGGAACAAAGAGCCCTGTCTTTGAGGCTGCACTTTCAGCCATTTACTTGCCCAGCCCCCCTTCCTGTCTTCCCTCAGGCTGCAAGTATGTTTGCATTAATGCGCTATGTAGGCGACTTGGAGCTGTGGAACATTCTTTCATTCCAAGAATCTGCAGATACTGACGTTCCTCCTCCAGCCCCGTGCAGGCTCTGACTTCTCATAGAGGCCAATGTTGGCCTCCGGTTTAGCACTTAAAAATCTCGTGTATTCTCATTATTGTTGTTGTCTGTTGTTTTGTTTCAGGAGTTTGACAAGAAGTACAATCCCACTTGGCACTGCATTGTGGGCAGAAACTTTGGTAGTTATGTGACACATGAAACTAAGCACTTCATCTATTTCTACCTGGGCCAAGTGGCCATCCTTCTGTTCAAATCTGGTTAAAGCATGGATTGTGCCCACACACCCAGTGATCCATCCAAAACCAAGGACTGCCGCCTAAATTCCAAATACCAGAGACTGGACTCTTCAGCCTTGCTAAGGGAACACCTCCATCTTTGAACCTTTGTTGTGTTGTTTGGTACAGGACCTCCTCTGTACTCCTTTGTGGTTATAAAGCAATTAGCAAAACGGCTTACATTTGTATTTATTTTCTATTCCATACTTTGCCCTGCCTCATGTTTTTTGTTTTTTTCTTTCCTCACAATTCATTCCAAAGAAGAAAATAAATATGTTGGAGATGTGTGTATTAATGACAATTTGTTCAATCTAGGGTTGAAGGTGACAGTCTTGTGGCTTTCAGGAGGGGACATGGTTATTGGGGTTAGCCTATTTAGTACTTGGGTCTCCTGTGCATAATGTCAAGAAACATAACCAAAAAGCTAGATTAAATTTTAGTCCCGATTTGGTAAATATTAAAGTGCTACTTTTTTTAGGTGTTGATGTAGAATGTCTTGGTATTTATGTCTTAGGTGATGGCTGTATGATAGTACTTTTGTTGAGGTACTTACTTTAGTAAATTCCCTGCTTCAAACTAAAGGATCCGTAGTAATGGTGTTAACTGTAAAGTTTGTGGGAGCAAGATGAGCTGTCTCCTGATAAGACTGATAGACTCGAATACTGAAGGGAGCAAGTTTACTCTTCCATTAGGGCGGCTATGAATTGGAATGAGCTCCACTGTGGTGCTGTTGAATTGGTTTGGTTTAGTACTTTAATTAGCTGTAGTCAGAAGCTAATTAAATGTAAACTAAAGGGTTTTGGGGCTAATTTTGCTATTTAACAGCAGTTTCCTTGTCAATTATAGGAAGACTATTTTTTTGCAAATGACAAAAGCTGGAAGTTGGCACTCTAGTAAACGAATGGACCATTTGGCCTCGAGTAGCCTCCATTCTCTTCAGCTGTGCTTGTTAGGACCTATAGAAGTAATAGGATTCATGAGCCGCCAGGCTACCCACTACCCACAAAGGAATCACACGTGAACTGATTGATGGTTCTATATTGGGAGCAGCAGGTTGGAAACAACTTCAGGTTTACAGGTCCTAGTGAGGTGCGCCACCTTGGGACCTCGCGGTACTTGGTTATTTTGACACTTAAAATGGAGGGCTTTTGCTTGCAGGAAAATGAGCTACTTGGGATGGGTGTTGACTAAGTTCATACTTAAAGTAAACTGACTCAACAGCGCAGCTTTCTTGCCTCTAGTGATGTGGTCATGTTTCTCTTGGAAGCCCAATAGGTATTGGGCCTCCTAAGCTGTGTAACTTCATTAGCAATTGACCCAACTCCAACTGACTTGTCCCTAGCACAGACCCAAGAGCCTCATCAGGCAGGTGGTCATTTGGTTCTAAATTTCATATGGCCTGTGCATATTTGCTACCAGGAAATGACAGTCTTGAAACTATTTCATTTTTTGATTCAGCTGTGAAAAAATGTTGCCATGGAGACAGGACTGGGCTAATGGTTTATAAAGTTCCTTCCTGTTCATTTTAAAGGCCAATAGGCTCCAGCTGGCTGAAGACTTCAGCTGAGTTTAATTTTGTCAAATGCTTTGTGATTTTTCTTCAAGGTAGCTCCCCCCCCCAGGTAGGTTTTATATAGACAGCTGTATCTTGAAGAATTTTGGTGAGCAACAGGGCCAGATTTTAATGACAAAAGAAAAGCCCATTCTGCTATGCTAGGAAACACTACCTGAAGTATTTTCAAATTGCTGTCAAATCATCTAACCCATCTGGGCAAGGCCTTTCAAAAATGTTAAATTTCATCTGTACTCAACAGGTCTATGGCTTTGAACATTCAACAGTGGACTGTTAAGACATGCACTTAGCCAAGTAACAAGGTGCTGCTAGATTAAGGTGACCAGACGTCCCGATTTTTAACAATTTTCCCCGCATCCCACGGCGTTTTTAAAAAGTCCCAATTTTTGGAAAGAATGCACGACAAGCTAGGGTATACGGTTTTTGGCTGCCATGTGGCTATTTCACCAGGATAAGAGTTTTATCAATGGTGTCCTGCTTTATCAATGTTAAAATCTGCTCGGTCACCTTATGCTAGATAAACAGTTATCTAATTTTCTGCTGTCATGAAACTTAGATGAATTCTGACAAATTCCCTATGTGATCTGGTACATGGGTTCTTTCAGCAAGAATTTAGTGAGTTGCTGCCCCTGTGTTTGGCACTGTGTGTACATTCTCTTGGTTGAAGAGAACTGAAAGTGTTTCCTCTCATCGTAAAGGAAAACAACGAAATGCCATTCAGGATTGTAAACTCATTTACTGATTCACACAATTTTATTCTCACCACCCACTGACTTGGGCCTCTCCACTCTTGGCCTCAGATTCAGTCAGTCCTAGGATGAAAGGTTAACTTGGGGACAATCATAAGGGTTTTCCCAGTTCAAACCATCATTTCAAATGACCCATCTCTGAGGCAGCACTGACGGACCTGCTACTAGCCATTTGCACCTTGCACCTAGTGTTGGGTTGATCTCAACCACACACCACACAGCCAACAAGTTACCAGGAATTGAGCAAACAAACCCAAAATCCCTGGGAATGATCAAAAGCAGTTCCTAATGAACGCTACAGAAAGTGACAAGTTGCTCCCACCTTGAGACTAGTCACTCAGAACATGAGTTCAAGGCACACATCCTTAGGAGGAAATGTTCTGCTCTTAGCCTCCTTGACTGGATTGTCCTGCAGTTGCACATAGGGTGTGACTGGTTCATGCTCCAGGGCCAGAAAGGAGTTACAGTTTGAAACCAGAATGAATGGCCACGATGCCTGATGTTAGACTTTCATATGTCACCTTCTGAAAACCTGCATCTTCTATCATTTCCTTGAAGTCCTCCTGAAACACAGAGGCAGCACAGGTTGGCTGGACTTCCACTCCAGGCCTTTGTTGTAAACCTGGTAGGGGAAGGTTTATACCTGAGGTGGGAACTTCCGGATACTCTCTACCAGGTATTGGTAAGACTTCCAATCCCCTGCGATGACCTCTCCCAAGACAGGAATGACCTGGAAGCTATAGAGATCATAAAGCCTAAACAAAAATGTGAGAGATTCATATTAGAACATGCCTCGTTTCTTTGGTTAAGTAATAAGGTCTAGGCCTGGAGCCCCACACTCAAGTGACTACAGTCAAGTAAGTATGTGGAGTAAGAAGTGGGCTAGGTGGATGAGCAATAGGGAGAAATGTGGATCTGAACAGTACTGTTGGGAAGGAACCATCATGCTGGAGAAGGGGCAATTTCTGCTCAGTTGTGGCAGAACGAGCCAACCCAGGGTGTTGGGAGTCTGCTTTCTCAAAACTGGGAATCTAAACTTTTCTGTCAAAAGTGCCTGAAATTTCCATATTTAGAAATGGCATGTGAGTCCAATAAAATAACTTATGTGGGCCACCTGGAGCCTCTGGTTATTGGACTGTGATGCTACTGGCACCTAGGTGTGATCTGTTATTCAGAACTGACTGACCTAGGAGATGGTCACCCTCCCTCAGGGAATCTGAGCTATGAGGTGGGACAGCACCAAAGTTTTACTGGCCGTTTTTAAAATTTTCTATTCATTCTATCCACTGCAGGAAACCCCGGGCTAGCCAAAACGAATAAAGCCCTGTTAACAATTCCAACCTGGATATGAGGGGATTGTTCACTTGGCTAAACTCCAGACAGAGAAACCGTCCTCCTGGTTTTAGGACCCGGTGAGCTTCCTGGAGTGCCTGAGCAAGACAAGGAACGACAGGATGTACTCCTCAGGAGACCTCACGCAGTGCCACGTGGCCGAGGCTTTGCTTCGTGTGCCACGGATCCCATTTACCCTTGGGAAGCTTGAAAGGCAGAAAGAGTCCTGTGGTGAAGCGCTGTTGAGTGGATTCTGAGTGGGTTCCAGTAGAATTTCTCTGTAAGGTTTTCTTGATTGTATGGGGTCCTTACAGAAACAGGTCGCCAAGCCTTCCTCCCACAGAACTGGATGGGCTCAAAGCAGCCAACTCGGTGTGTAACCCAGCGCTTTAACCACTGTGCTACCAAGGCTTCCCCTTTGAAACATCCCTACCAGTCTAAATTTTATTAGGCACTCTGCCCCTGGAGATGAAAGAAAGTGACTACAGTTAACTGCCCAACCTCCCCAGCCGTGCCCCAACCAAACCAACTGCCATCGAGCCCATTTTGATTCATAGCAACCCGAGAGAGTTTCCAAGACTGTCAATCTTTACAGTAGTAGAAAGCTGGTGGGGTTGAACCACTGACCTTGTGGTTAAGCAGCCCAAGGCCTAACCCACCTCAGTGCAACCGGGGTGGGGAGGAGAGAATTTTAGCATTGCCTATCAAAACTGTCATGGCTGTCCTCTTTGGCAATTCCACTTCCAGGAACTGACTGACAGAAATGCTTCCACAGGGAAATATCAAGAATAAGCATCATCTTCAATGAACCATTAATGAGAGATGAATACATTATGTATTATTTAGACAAATGGAATCTAGGTACTTTTAAAAGAGGCAGAAGTGCTCTGTCTGCACTGATACGGAGGAATCATCAAGGCATACTTATAAGGGGAAAAAGCAATGGGTGAGATGTTTAGTGTGCTGATTTTTTGGTCTGAAAAAGGGCCAAGAGGGGCTTCCAAAATTCTATGGGATTAAAAGATAATGAAATCTGACCACACAGTTTTGGGAAACCCTCCCTTGTAAACTTAATATGCAAAAACATCTCTGAAAAATCCACAAGAGGCTGATAATTGTCTCTACGGAGACAAGATGGAAAGGGCATGTTCAATGTACACTTCAAACCAAAAAGGAAAACAAAGAAGCTGGCTAGAGGCAGTATCTCAGTCTTAAGTATCAAGGTAAAGAACTTCCCACCTATAGCCGAAGTCCCAGGGAGCTGGTACTCTCAAATCATATTAAACTGGGGGCTCTGCACATGGTCTTCAATGTTTGAATAGAATGTTAACATGGAAACGAAGGCTGGCATCAGATTAAGGAACCCCAGTGGTACAGTGAGTTAAGGGTTTGGCCACTCACCTTTGGTTAGCATTTTGAGCCCACTAGCCCTCCATGGTAGATGTAGTAGCCTGCTTCCTTCATGGCTTATAGCCTCGGAAACGCTATGGGGCAGTTGTCCTCTACAGAGCATTGTGAGTAAACACTGACTGGAAGGGAACAGGTTAGGCTTGAAATTAAGAGTTGGATAGTCCCTTTGTAGGGAGAACAGGACTCTAGCTATCCTCTGCCAAAATAGGCTGGATGCCTTTCTGCGTCAGTTACTCCAACCTCTGATCTGTCTGTCTATGATCTACTAACTCATAGTGGCAGACAGCTTCAGGCTGGTGAGCAGAGGGACACACAGTCAAGAGTGGCTGAGTCTCAAGGAGGACACCACCAGCCCAAGCAGCCAAAGCTTGCACGAGGGCTTGCTCTGCAGTTGGGTTTGTTTGGAGGTTTTGGTCTTTGTCCCAGTTTGTGACAAGGAAAAGCGGCAACTTAAAGGATTGAATTCCACTCAAGAGCTGGGCCTGGAGAAGGACCTCTCCTCCTTTCCTCATTCACCATGGATCCACTCCAGAAGCTCCTAAAGCACACGAGTCGGGGATGCGGCCATTCATACCCGATCGATGTGTGTCACATTCCGGATCCCAAAGGCAATGCTATAAACATCAAACTTGGCATCATCAAAGGGCAGTTCTTCAGCATCTCCCAATACCCAGGCAAGGCCTGAAAGAGAAAATCAGTTCTGGGTTACCATGTCCTTGATGTCCAAGCACCTAACAATTCTGTCTCCCAGGCCACTGACTTCATAGTGTCCTCCAATCCTGAAAACTTGAAGTTGCTATTTCTAGAGTTTATTAGGATCCAAGTCCTTCCCTTCGGATCCTTAGAGCAGGTCTTAGTCACGCCTATCCACAGCCCTCCCGTGGAATTGTTATCCAGGTCCTTGGTGGTGTAGTGGGTTACAATGGGGGCTGCCAAGGACAGGTCAGCAGTTTGAAACCACTATCTGCTCTGAGCGAAAACACAGAGGCTGCATGTTCCTATAATGATGTACAGCTTCAGCAACCCACAGGGAAGTCTACACTGTCCTACAAGGTGTCTGTGTAGATTTGAGTTCTTAATTAAGTATTGCATGTAGCCCATTGTGGCTAGGGGCAGAGGTTCTGGGCTTAGAGTGCCCATGATCTAATTCCAGCTTCACTACTGTTAACTATAATCTTGAACAAACTACTGTCTCTTCGTGCCTGTAAAATCCTTCATAGGGTTTTTGGAGGATTAGATGAGCTACACATTGTCCTCCCATTCTCTCTGTAACCTTCTGGAACCTTGGTGATACCGGGTGGTAGTTCTGATCTCAGAGCAGAAGAGGCCATGGTCCATGTGGTCTATTAGTCTTGTACTCTAGTTTCTGGAGTCTCTGGTTTCTGTCTCCGTTACAGAGTACTGCTGAAACAGAAATATCACAAGTGGATGATTTCAACAAATTTATTTTCTCAGTTTAGGAGGTTAGGGGCCCAAATTCAGGGTGCTGGCTCTAGGATAAGACTTCTCTCCCTGTTGGTTCTGGGGGAAGGACTGTGTCACTTCAACTTCTTGGATATTTCTGTGGGGGCTGGGGTCAAGCTTGCCCAGTCTCGCCTTCCTTTTATAATCTCTTTTATATTAAAACATACCCTACACTCATCCAGACTAATTAATATAACAAAGACAACCCATTTCTTTTTTTTTTCTTCAATCTTTTTATTAGGGGCTCACACAACTCTTATCACAATCCATATACACATCAATTGTGTAAAGCACATTTGTACATTCATTGCCCTCATCATTCTCAAAACATTTCCTCTCCACTTAAACCTCCGGCATTAGGTCCTCACTTTTCCCCTCCCTCCACTTCCCCCTCCCTCATGAGCCCTTGATAATTTATAAATTGTTATTTTGTCATATCTTGCCCTGTCGGACGTCTCCCTTCATCCACTTTTCGGTTGTCCGTCCCCCAGGGAGGAGGTCACATATAGTTCCTTGTAATCGGTTCCCTCTTTCCTACCCACTCTCCCTCTACCCTCCCTGTTTCGCCACTCACACCACTGGTCCTGTAGGGCTCATCCACCCTGGATTCCCTGGATTTCCAGTTCCTATCTGTACCAGTGTACATCTTCTGGTCTAGCCAGACTTGCAAGGTCGAATTCGAGTCATGGTAGTGGGAGCGGGGAGGAAACATTTAGGAACTAGAGGAAAGTAGTATTTTTCATCGTTGTTACATCGCACCCTGACTGGCTCGTCTCCTCCCCGAGACCCCTCTGCAAGGGGATCTCCAGTGGCCTACTAATGGGCTTTGGGTCTCCACTCCGCACTCCCCCCATCATTCACTATGGTAAGATTTTTTTGTTATGATGATGCCTTATACCTGATCCCTTTGACACCTCGTGGTTGCATAGGCTGGTGTGCTTCTTCCATGTGGACTTTGTTGCGACAACCCATTTCTAAATGGGATTATATGCCAGGCACAGAGGTTAGGATTGACAACACAGATCAAACATGACTCAATTCATAATGGTGTCTTTCATTTTAGGCAAGTAAAACCAATCACTTTATTTTAGATGGCTCCTCCAAAGCTTTTAAGATCCCAGCGACTGCTCACAAACTAGGATGTAGAACATTATCTTTACCAGCTACACTCTGCCGCTTGGCAGAGGGGTCCTAACCCTTGGTACCCAGCAAACAATCCCACGAGGCACTTGAGGCGTCGAGGAAGTCTCTGTAGTTGTGCCCTCTATAGGCTTTATTATAGAAAGACTTTTGCTTTCTTGATATTCTTCCAAAATTTCAACTTCTAGAATATTTCTCTCAAATATATTATTACTTCTATAATCCATCCAAAAAATGTTTTTAAGGCCTCAGGCTCTTCCATCTGGGAAGCCTTTAAATACTTAACAATGCTGCACATAAAAATGGCGTCTAAATGGAGTTTAAATTTTGAGCACCCTGGTTTGTAGAAAGCTATGGACAATGGTAACTGCCCCAAATCCATTTGCCTTCATTGAATGCCCTCTGATCCTTAAAGATGTAGATAATCCTGGCCTCAGGCAGAGTGCAGTCCGGAAGCAGACTGCCTCCATCCCTCTCCAGTGATGATGGTGGAGTCCACTGACAGGAAGTATCTACCCGAGGTGAGTGCACATGGGCCGGTTCATGAGTGGTGACCGGGGCGGGCAGGAGGGAGAGGGACACCTTACTTAGGGGACACTGAGCTTCTGTTCTGGGTGATGGAAAAGAGTTTGGAAATAGACACTAGTGGTGCTTGCACAATGTAAGTGATAAAGAATGTCCTTGAACCGTGCATGTGAAACGTGTTGAAATGGCAAATGTTCCGTTACATATTTATCACACACACATACACAAAGGGTGTCTTGGAGCAACATCTAACCCCAAGTTCACTGCCAGCGAGTCAATTCTGAAGCACAGTGACCCTGTAGGGCAGAGCAGAACTGCTCCTTTGGGGTTTAAGGCTATGTAAATCTCTAGGGGAACAGAGAGCCTCGTCTTTCTCCCTTGGAGCGGCTGGTAGGTTTCATTCGCCGACCTTGGCGTGAGCAGCCCAATGTGTAACCAATCATGCCACTAGGACTCCTTGCAGCAACACGTGGGAAATATTAAAGTTAGAAGCAGTCAGACTGGGCAGGGCAAGGCTGTAGATGGCAATGCAGGTCTGGCCCAGTCTCCACCCACTTCCTAGGGAACTGCGGGGCCCTGGGTGGTGTCAATTGCTAAGCACTAGTCCTAAAAGGCTGGTGGTTCAAATCCTCCCGGAAGCTTGGCATCTGCTTTCCAAAGGCCTCAGCCAGGAATCCCTATGGGGTGTTTCAATGTGGATGTACCGGTCTGGCAGTCTCTCACTGCAAAGAGCTGGCCCTTGGCAGGTCTGCAAGGGCTTTCTTTACTAGATACCAGCAAGCTACTGCTCAGCCTCCACTTCAATTACACTACCCCAGCACCGATGAGGAATGGCGTGGCAGAACAGGGCACCTCCTATGTCACGTGGGGTTGGTAAGCCCACTCATGGAGTTATGTAACAGCACAAAATGAACTCAGCCACACAACTTCTCTTCCATTTCTGCCTAGACGGTTCTCAAAGTTGGAAGAGAACGTATTTCCACATTCTGTCTGACTTTAGGAGTACACTCCCCTTCTCCCCCCATCCCCCCATCCACTGCCTCTGGGTTTACTTCCAAAGGCCTTACCTGTTTTGTAGCCTTGAGCCTGGGCTTTCTGCTTTCCAACCTTGAGCATCTCCTTGTTGATGTCACAGACCATGACACGAGAACCACCCAGGGGGTCCTCGTCATTCTGGTACTTTTGGGCAATTTCTTCCCAGGATAAATTCTGTTGGGCTCGTAACTGCTTCTTCTGCTTCCCCTTATACTGCGCCTGAACATACTTCAGGAACCGGAATGCGATATCACCTGCGAGAAGCCAACAGAGGAAGATTCAAGACCGCAAAACCAAAACAACGGCACCTCCTAAACCCGAAACGAGTGAGAGAGTAAAGGTAGTTGATGACCAGTGAAAACAGATGTTTCTACCCATCTCCCGGTGGCTTTTTAAGGTGACTTGGGGGGATAATTTGAATTTTAAGGTTTAAAGAGTATTTCACAGTGATAGTCTCAAGGAGTCCTCTGTCTCAACTGGTCCACTAAGCCTGGAATCTTTTTTTCTTAAACCTTGTGTCCGAGGGCTGACTTTCAATAGATCGCAGCGAGGGAGCTGCTCTGCTACGTAGGAAACCCCGACCCAGAAGCAGGTCGTCTACGAATGGTTTAGCACCAGGCTCCCCAGGAACGCGCCCCGTTTCCCAGGACGAGGGCCACTCCGCAAGCGCGGGGGCAGGCGTGCGGCCCACCGGCCAGGGGGTACGGCGGGTACGGCTATCCGAGGCTGCCCTGTTGTTCCTCCTGGGCGGGATTCTGACTTAGAGGCGTCCAGTCATAACCCCACAGATGGCTCCTCAGCCAAGCACATACACCGAATGTCTGAACCTGCGGTTAAACCTGGTGCCTTAAAAAGAATTTGAGTTCTCTTTTGCTCCTGTTCGATCAGGGCCCATATTTTGAGGCCTTGATTGGAGGAGCCAATCATCTAGTTGTCCTGTCTCCATGCAGATGAGGCCACAGCTCTCTATCCAACCCACTATTTTCCAGTCAGTTTTCTGTCTATTTAAACACGCTGACATGCAATCATATGAAAACATTTAAAAAATAAGCAAGGATAATAATCTTGTACAACTTTTTTCTTCCTATTTCAATGTCTGCCCATCAGTTATTACAGGTTTCCCTTTCTTTTAAACCCGTGGTTCTCAACCTTCCTAATGCCAGACCCTGTCATACAGTTCCTCATGTTGTGGTGACGCCCCCCC